AAAGCCAAAAACAAAAACAAATCATTCGAATTGTTGCATTTTTATCGTTAGAAATAAAATAACATTATCAAAACATTCAAATCGTCAAGAATGAAATATTCTATTTCATCAAAACAAGTATAATGTTGTAAAATTCCGGAGGTTAAAAAAAAGGTTATAAAATTCCGGAGGTTAAAAATAATATAAGTTTTATAATAATGAATATTTCTTAAATTGTAATAAAAAATAAATTTCAAAAAACAAACAAATCCGCGTAGAAGAAAGTATTTTAAAAATTATTAAAAATCACAAAGCACTGGTTTACCCCCTTTAAAATGCACTTTAAAATCACAAAGCACTGGTTTACCCCCTGTTAAATAAAAACATATTTTCCCCTGTGTCTTTTTAAGTAAAAACTTTCAACATATGTTTTTTATATTGTTTTGAATACCTGATTTATGCTCTTTCTATTGGTATAAAAAAAATTTAATTTAGTTGCTATGGGGACCAGTTACGTCATACCACTTGTCACGCAAAATGAAAATCGAATGACATCTGTCATTTTTCAAATCCTAATCATACAAGGATCTCATGTCAATAAAAAGTTTGTTTGTAACATGTATGTGCACACGAAGTTGCATAATGGCCTGCGCTAAAATATTTTCTGAAATAAGTTGCTTAACATTTCAAGGATATTTACAAAATATCCTTGAAATGTTAAGCTTTGGTATTTGCTTTATATTAGTACGAGTACTAATATAAAGCAAATACCAAACAAATACAACATCAATATAAACCAATATAAACAATTGGGAAGATAATAATATTAATAGTAATATTATATTAATAGTGCAAATCAATAAAAACAACTAGGAAAATAATAATATTAATAATAGTATTATATAAATAATATAAACCATTCGAACAAAAATAAACATCAAATTAAACATCAAAATATATAGCAATAATAAGTTTTTATAATAAAAATATATAGTAAAATAAAAAATATATAGCAATAATAAGAAATAATGGTAGTAAAAAAGAATAAATAAAAATAAAATAAATAATATAACAAATAAAAAAACTTTTTATAAAACCACGTTTTTGTAATGAACTAAAAAGTAGAAAATAATTTTCTCTTGTGGCTATAGAAATTTTTGAAAATTAATTGAGTCGATAGTAAGTGACATGAAAACTTTTGATTATGAACTCTTAATAACTACGATAATATTTGTAAAATTTTTAACGAAAAACGTGGTGCGCATCTTGTCACTTTAAATGATCATCATCGTCCTTAATTACTTTAACTATTGCTTCCTTCTTCTGTTCTTTTTTTTCGTTAAACGCGCACCACGTTTTTCGTTTAAAATTTTACAAAGATCATCGTAATTATTAAGAGTTCATAATCAAAAGTTTTCTTGTCACTTACTATCGACTCAATTAATTTTCAAAAATTTCTATAGCCACAAGAGAAAATTATTTTCTACTTTTTAGTTCATTACAAAAAACGTGGTTTTATAAAAAGTTTTTTTATTTGTTATATTATTTTCTTCTTTTTAGTTTTTGATGGGTGGAATTTTATATTTTGTAAACAACTGATTTTGTTTTTATGCTGCGGTCCATTTAAAATCACAGCGGCAGTTAAATTTGGTTTTTTTGTTCGAAAATTTTTTATATAAAGCGACGCGTCAAATTGCGGCGACGCCTCCAAAAGTTTCGCCATAATAAATTTTATTTTGCTGAAATTGTTCAAGAAACTCGGCAAATCATGGTAAAAATAGTATAATATTGCATTGTCATCGGGTTCTGAGCTATAGTAAAAGTTTCAGAGCTCTAGCTAATCGAAAAGTGGGTTAAAATTGAGTTGCAAAATTCCACCCGGACAAACAAACAAACAAGAAAGCGAGCTAATAAAAACGTGGTAAAATACAGTAGTCTCTCGCTTAATTGCGCAAATTGAAACAGGCACTGTGGTGCGCAATTAACTAGGAGTACGCAAATAAGAAAAAGGTAAGAAAAAATTTAGCAAACTAAATTATTAACTGTATAAACAAATCTTTATTAAGAAATATATTATGCATGACGGAAAAAGTCATGAGTTAAAGGCTGAACATGCATTCTGCAGCTTTTCTCGTTTAATTTTCATAATTACTGACCGCATGTTTGATGATAGTTGTTCGTAGTTATTAATTAATTTATCGTTGTCGTCTTTTAAAATTACTTTAATTTTTTGACATTTTAATTGATTGCTAATATCGATCAGAGATAAATGTATAAATTCAATACCTAAGAAGTCTGTACCATCGTCTATCTCATCATTATTAGCTTCTTTTTCATCAGAATTGTTATCCATAGCAATTGCATTGTCATTATTTTTTTCGAGAGACAAACAATCTTCAACATCTTCCTTGATTGCTTCAATATACGTTGGAGAATCTTCACAGTCAATTGATTCAAAATTGCTGATATCTTCCGAACTGATCATATACGCTATTCCTTCAATTTCGTTCAGTAACGAGAGCTAATATGCTTTCATGAGACCTAAGATGCGAAGTCAGCCTCCTCGGTGCATAGTTCAGTGTTAACGGGGTTGGAAATCTGAAGTAATTCTGCCTTTTTTAAAGCAATTTTTTTAGAGATTAAGTTTTTTAATTGATTTCCAAGCCAAATCGACATACTTAGCAGGAGTTGAATACCGGCTTCCGGTACTCAACTCCTGCTGCATCTCTTTTGCACAAAAGACTACTTTCTTTCAGACATTCCTTTGTATTTAAATCGAGGCTGTAATATGACAATATGTCTTAGAGATATATATATTTATACTGCTTCTTGAGAGCCGCAATAATCCCTATATCTCATGGTTGCTTCCAACTTGTGCAATTTGGAGGGAAGAAAACAATTGTTACAAGGTTTTGCTCAAACGCCTCAAAATGTTCAGGTGCATTATCTCATAATAAAAGAACACATTATTTCTAGCTTCTTCGGTCATTAGTAAACTTTTTTTCTATTTGATCTCGATTATTCCAGAGAGATCGAATTGAATTTTCAGTTACATTATATTCTCTTGCAATTGCTCGTTTGCTTGGTGCATCACTTTTTTTAAGTTCAGTTATAATTTCGACTCGTTGATCTTCTGATAATCTTTTTCCTTTGCCTTTAGCCATAAGAAGTAAGTAAAAAAAGTTGGAATAAGAGAACTGTGAATAGACGGCTAAATTTAAAGTTTTTTCAATGAGACTTGACTAATAAATCGTTAAAACTTATTATTATCTGTTTAAAACAAGATTTATCATTTACTTCGATTCGAATTGGAATTATTTATCTATTTACATTCTGATAAAATCATTATCTTAAAATATTTATGATAAAAACTAGTTTTAAACTTAACCCAGGAAATTATTAGTTATGTTTTCTGATCTAATTACGCTTTCAACAAAAAACTCAGTAAAAAATTGAAACACAAATATTTTGGGCCTAAACGCGCAATTAACTGGGATGCGCAACTAATTGGGTGCGCAAATAAGTGAGAGACTGCTGTATTGTTAAGATAAAATTACTATATTAGTATAAAGATACTATTACTATTATTTAAAAATATAATAACAACAAAAATAATATGAATAATAACCATAATAGAAATCGCATATAGATAGAGATTGTAGAAAGATGTGAATTAGTAACAAGATAGAGATAAATGAAATAAGATCAATAGATGCAATAAGATCAATAGATAATAAAGACGAATAAAGATAAATTCTCGTGAAATAATCAATAATAATAACAATAAAAATAGCACCAAAAGAAAAAAAAATTAGAATAAATAACCAAGGAATTAAAAATTAATAACAATAATAATAATGTTAATAGTGTTTTGGAAAAGGTTGGTTTAAATTATTGAACGAACAAAGAGGATAACGATAGTTTAGACTTTTAGTATAAAATTTATTGAATGATACTGGAAGATTTTAGTGATGGTAATTCCAGACAAATTGAAGGTGAATATAACAAGGTCACTTAATTTTAGTATATTCGAAATATAGTACAGTACAATAGATTTAAAATTATCAGATTGAAAATATATTATTTTAAGACTTTATCTTGGAGATGTGATAGCCTTGAAAAATTTTGTTTATAAAATTGTCCCCATATTTGACATGCATATCTTAGATGAGACCCAAAAATAGCATGGTATATATTTAGCAAAGCTTCTAAATTTACATAATGAGGGATTTTGGCCAACATTCCATTAGATCTCTTGTATTTCATTGCCAAGTCATTTAGATGATCTTTAAAAGAAAGATTGGAATCAATTTTGATACCAAGATATTTAATAGATCCCACAGGATAAATTTTCTATTCACTTAGCCTGAAATATTGGTGCTTTTTAATAGGAGTCAGACTGGATTTAAAGATGATCAGTTCAGTTTTATTACAGTCGAGAAAAAGTTTATTTGATCAAAGCCATTGAATAAGATTTGTGAGATCATGATTAATATATTTATTGTTTTTTTTTAGAGAGATTTGTCAATCAGTAGCATGTTAGTATCATCTGCAAAGTGGTAAGCGGTTGCAAATTTAAGAGAAGTATTTAAGTTATTAATAAAAATAAGAAAAAGAAGTGGTCCTAAAACTGAATATTGTGGGACACTATTGAAGCACTTTTTTAAGACAGAATTAGCCCCATTAATTGAAACAAACTGTTTTCTATTGTGATGGTAAGAATTAAACCATTTTAGTGGGATTCCTCCTGATACCATAATACTCCAGTTTTGTTAGAACGATAGAGTGGTCCATAGTATCAAAAACTTTTTCCAGTTTTTTCTGTTATACATAGCTTTTTACAAAAGTTTGCTCAAATTGGAAAGAAGGAAAATGGGTCGATAGTTTGTGTAATCTAGAAGATAGCCTTTTTTATGGATTGGAACAACTCTAGCTACTTTGAAGACTTCAGGGAATATGCCACTTTTAAATGAATTATTAGTAATAGTTCAAAGTGGCTTTGAGACAATGTGAGATGTAAGTTTTAGAAAAATGCTAACGTCAACTTTTTTAAACAAATGCTCAAAGACATTTACAATTGATAATTTACATAGATACTTTCAATAGTTTTTAGTTTTCCCCCTTTTTATATATATGACGGATTCTTTAGTAAACAAAAAAAAAAAACATAAACAAAAACAAAATAAAAAACAAAAAAACAAAAACTGTAAATGTCTTGTTTAGCTTTTCCCACTTTTATTTACTAGATACTATATAATCGGTATCGTGTAAGTCGAATCCGAGACGGATTGTGTCATATCGTGTTGTATCGACGTGCTGTGTCGTATTATGTTACTTTATTTCTCATTAACGATCTTCATTTGTAATTTTTTATACCTTTATCTTGTAAATTTTTTCACGAAATATTGTATAACCTGTAATAAAAAACAAAAAATAAACAAGCAAAAAAAAATTGAGGAGTTTCAAAATTTTGAAAAATTTTGAAACTCCTTATTGCCTACATTGCCTACAATTGATTCCCTTACCAATATCAATTGGCACAACACCAAGTAAAAGATTATCTTTGGTTTATATAAATTGATCTGTTTATGTTTATCGTCAACCGTTCAACATAAACAAGCGCGGTAAAATACTAAAATGTTGATGGTAAAAATACTTTTTTAACTAGTTTTTTTTCGTGCAAATTATCAATTAATTTAAGGTTTGTTAAAAATTAGGTTATTAGAATAAATAGAAATAAACGATTTTTCTAATTTAGTCAGATTATTTATTAATAAATGGGATCTTCTCACGGGGATTGGTGTCTCATTGAAAGTGATCCTGGTGTCTTTACTGAGCTAATTAGAGGATTTGGTAAGTAAAAATTAATAAGTTAAGTTCAAATGTATAATAACACTGAAATAAATAACCCAAGTTCAAAGGTATAATAACATAAATGTCTGTAAAAAAATTGTTTCAATATGATTAATTAAGTTTTAATGGTTGATTGCACTCAAGTAACAATACCTTATTTGTACTTTTTGATCACAAAAGTATACAATAGAATTTTGTCTATATCTTTATAAAATAACCTTTTTTATAACAGGCTGTAGTGGAGTTCAGGTGGAAGAACTCTGGTCTTTGGACAGTGATATTCTAGAAACACTAAGGTAAATTTTAATTTATGAATATCAAATATATTTATGTAATGTTAATTTCAATAATCATTTTACATTGTAATATTTATGTTGTGAGTTGAATAAATTTTTACTTATATAATTTTTCATAAAAAGTTTTTTTAGCTCTTATCTATAGATTTTTTAAACTCATAGTTTCTATAACTTACCTGTAGTATAGTTAGTTTGTAAAATTAAGTTATGTAAGTTAATATATAGATATATTTACTTACATAATCTAATCTAAAAAAATTATTTCAGTTATTTTTACAAAACATTATCATATAAGTTGTTGCTTTTAGAGTTAATAATAATATAACTTAATATTTTTACTTTGACTACATAGCAGGGCTGGACTGGAAACTCATATAGGCCTGGGAAATATCCATGACATAGGCCATATTAGTATATTATTTGTTTATAAATATATTTATTAAAATTATACAATTTTTTTTTCAATAATTGCAGCAAAATTTAAAATTAAGTATCTAAGGTTATAGTTTTACAAATAGAATAATTAGGCATAATAAATGAGCCTATCAACCTAATAATATAAATGAAAACTGCTTTTTTTTTTTTTAAATACAAATTTTTTGTTTTAAATATAAAAATAGAAACAAGCATTAAAAAGTTACTGTTGTATGCCAAAACATGAAATCAATTGTTTACTCGCATAACCACTGTATAATGAAAAAAAACAACCCAGATACTAATAAAAACTGCAATTCCGTTATTAAAAGCAAGTGCCCTAATTGTGCCAATGGTAGGATTTTAGCCATGATGATGCGCTTCAGAAATGCTGTTAGCTAACCACTTTGGCCACATAGCCAATGTAGTTCAATACAGTCTAAACTTATCTTGGGCTGATGTAAACTGCATACAGCTGTGTTCTAGAACACCTCATATATCAATAACTTTATTATTATCAATGTTATTTAGAATATCTTTTTCACACACCATGAGTATAAATGCTTCCAAATGTTTTTAACATATATATATATTCCATATTCCTTTTACCTATTAGAAATGAACTATTTTTTGCATATCTTTTAAAAAAAGTTTACCCCGCCATTGAAAAATCGATTTTGACATAAGTACTAATATATATTCAAATTTATTTAAAATGTCATAGTCATGTATTACAATAAATTTTCAATCCAACAATGACTCAGACCGTTGATCTTGCTCTTGCTTGTTGCACAGAAGGAATCGAAGGTGCAATCTGTCTTTATTTTTGCATGATGAATAAATTTCCTCCGTCACTTTGACTGCGCGCTCTGTGCATTGATTACTTCTGGGTATTAGTAGAATGGATGGCTCTCGCTTCTAGTGATTTTTCAAAGAGTTTAAAGCCTTTTTGTATGGATTCAGTATTTCAGCCAAGTTCTTAAAGTTGTTTTTGTTGTACAGCTGGTCTGTAAACCAATGGTCTGCCCAGCCATGTGATATAAATTGACAGTTCTCTGCAGAACTGTCCTTGTTGAAGAAATTAAAATGAAGGCCAGTATCGCTAGTATAGCTCTGGAGTTCCACCTCACATTGCTGATGTTGGGTATTTTCTGAAACCTGATCAATGGAAAATGTTCACGCTCGAGTGAGATAAAACAAAAATTTCATATCATCTCTCCAGCCTGATGTTTCGCAAATTAATTTTGTTCTGTTATCAAATTGTGTTTTCAGTTGTTTGTTCTCCTTTAACAGTTGAGATACAAATGGATATTCGATGTTTGGCGATTGTGTTTTACTTCCAAGTTTTTCATCCATCACCAAAAGGAGGATTCTATCTAATACATGGTGTTGACAACTGATAAACTCAGGTTTGTTGATGGATTTCTCTGTGAACATTCATTGCAATATTAAAACAACACCATTCTTTTTTCCAGTGTTAACGCTGGTGGTATCTTCAACAATCATCTGTATTGAATTCCATAGGTAAAATTCATTGAGGACTTTAGAAATTCCTTGAGAAATAGTTAAAGCCCTGCTACCTACCAAGCCAAGGACATCCAATTTGATTTCTCTTTTTTCATTTTTAAGGATGACCACTTGATAATCCATTCTGTTGATGTGGTTACCATCAAAATGTAAAGACCAACTTTCCATTTGTAACTTTTCAATCATTTCTTCCTTCGGCTTGATTGCCTCTTTGATTGTTGACTTGTAAATAGCTGATTGACATGGAGTTGGGGTGTCAATGCCTTCACAAGCTAATTGCTTGCATATGTTAGCAGCTTTGTTTGTTGATACTCTTGTGGAGGTCTTCAAGTTGTCTGCAATTTCGCTTTTATGATGTTTTCTGCTTGGTGTAGGTGTTGTCTCATCTTCTTCTTCATTATTTTCATGTTCACTGTCGTCAGCCTCAGAGTCAGAATCACTAAAATCAGGATAATAAGATGACGAGTTGGATGACTCATTAGAAAGTTTTTGTCTATTAGACAAAAAGTCTAATAGACAAAAACTTTCTAATGAGTCATATAAAGAAACAATCCATCAGTTTAGTGATGGATTGTTTCTTTACTGGCCGCTTGGCCTGTAGAGTATTCCTCGGAAGGCTAATAAACAAGATAGGAGCATTCAGGAAAATAAAATTCTGCTAAATCATTTAAATCTTTCAAAAAAATTGTTACAATTCACTAGCAGCAAATGAAAAAATAAATCTATAAATTAAAAAAAAAAAAATTGTATATAAGGTGTAAGTTTAAAGCAGTTTGATTTGTTGTTCATATTTCAAATCAATTAAAATTAGTATTTTAAACAGGATACTAAATTTTAAAGTGAATACTGAAATTATGAATGTGGTTTCAAAAATAATTTTTTAGATATGCATAAAATATATATGTAAAATAAATTATGTGAGTATTAATCATTTCAAATTACTGTAATGAATATTTTTTATTGCCTTATTTATTATTTTTATTGACCAGATTAATAGCCAAAAAAAATATCCACGTTTTGGGAAATATCCCAACAATAATAAATTATCATCAAGCTATAAATTATTGTCATAAATTTTTATCTAGAAAACAAAAGTATTTTTATTATACAAAATATTTGTCATTTCAATACAATCAGAGTTCATAGTAAAAGTTTAAATATCATTTTCAATATTTATAAACAGCAATGCCGAATCAAATAATCAATGAAAATCGCTCAAGGGTAATTGAATTTTATTTAAATTCCAGAGAAAAGAAATTCTGTAGATCGACGAAAGAGCTACTTATGCAGAAAGATTTATGAACATTTTGTCTTCTATGAATGACAATGAAATATTTTTTATTGATGAAGTAGGATATAGATTTTTGTCTGTTGTGTGATGAGCAAAAATTTAATACAGAAAGATTTTACATCTATTTGTCTAGTATCAACACATTTAGCTGTTAATGAAATTGTCGAGCTATCTGAATTTTAGACGATGTTTGTTGTTCAAGATGAATTATTATGCTGAGCATTCTTTAATGTTTTTACTTCCATATTCTCCATTTTTAAACCCTATTGACAAAATCTTTTCCGAATGGAGACAGTTTATCAGAAGATGTTTGTCTAGAACTAAAGAAGAACTACTTGAAAATATACAAAGTGGTGTGTTGAATATTACTAGCAAACTGTAATAATTTTTTTGGACATGTGCTCAGTTATATGATTCCGTTTTCAAGAAAAGAATGAATTATTGATTAATAAACTTACTTTTGCAATTTTAGTTTTTAAAAAGTGAATACTTGCAATTACATTATTTTATATATAATAACATTTGGTTTAAACTTTAGTTTGCATGCTAACTAAAAAAATATATTAACCTAATGAATTTAGAAAGAATCTAACTGTTTTATTTGTATATTATTTAAAGTATTCTTAGTGCTGTTGAAAATAAATTCAAAACAGTTCGAAATCTAATGCAACATGTGTAGAGATTTAATGAAACATTGTCAAATCTGCTGATACAATGTCAAAATTAAATGAATAGATGTCAAAGTGAGGTGAAAAACCCTGTAATGAATAGCCGGTGCCAGTGTGTACGTTTAAAAAATATTGAAAAGTGTGATTATATGCTTTTGTGATAATACTGGCCAGAGATTAGTGTATATTGAATATTTTTTTAATTAAATTAAAAAAATATTTAATATACACTAATTTCTTTCTTTTCTCAATATTTGAATAAATGAATTAAGTTATGCTGAATTTTTTTCATTGTTATTTATTAAATTTGTAATTGCTACTTTACAACTAATAATGATTTTTCAGTTAAAAAAAGCTAGTGAGTAATAAATAATAAACAACTTATTGATAAATTAAAAGCTGTATTTAATCACTTTAACAGTGATTTTGTTGTGTAAGCTAATTCTATTTTAAATTTCTAATTACGGTTTATTTAAAATGTCATATCGCTGTGCTTTCACTTGCCTTTTAAAAAAAAGTTTGACATATTTTGTACAACACAAATTCCATGCCTTGATGTGCATGACATCCACGCGTTTACAAGGAATTTGATTCTGTGTAAAAGAAATAAACTAAGGAAAATTGAAAAAAGAGTTATGATAAAATTAAGCTAAAAATTAAAATTAAGTTATTGAACAATAATCAGTAAATTGCATGCTACTTAATGCTTTAAAACAAGGCCTGATATTTATAAATTGTATTTATAACTATTATAAATGCTTACAAAAAATTAGGTTGATAAAGGTTTACTAATGTTAATTATTTCATAAAATTTTCTCATTTTATTAGTCCTGTTCATGGTTTAATATTCCTGTTTAAATGGAGATCAGGAGAAGAAGCAGATGGAGCCATTGTGCGTGACAGTCGAATAGATGAGATATTCTTTGCAAAGCAGGTGATTTTTCTTTTTTTAGAAAGTATGTTCTGTAATTTATAAAAAAAAAAAAATGTTCTTTAAATAAAAAAACAACTAGCATAATAATAATGGTGGCACTCACAGTTTCTTCACTCCCAGAAGAATTTTTGAATAGTTTTTATTTTTTAAATTGAATATTTTGGCTATCAGTAGGTACACCTTAAAAACTACAGCTAAGATTGTTACAATGTAACTGATAGTTAGAATGATTGTTACAATGTAATTGATAGTTAGAATGATTGTTACAATGTTTAGCCTGAAGCACTAAAGCTTTTGTATAGTCTACTTAGTATGATTGGTCTTCTTAGTTATATTTGTTTATAAAATTTATTAGTTTGCCTCTTTTTTGGTTTCTTAATCCTTGATTGGTTTTAGTTGATACTTTTAAAATGGATGATTTAAATAACTAAAAATTTTATACGCATTTTCTCATTTATATTTTGCCTACACAATGTTAGCATAAAAAGAAATGATCCTTAATAACTTCTTAAAAACTACATTAATAATTATTAAGGCAAAGTCTGATATAAAATGATTGTAAGGTTGTCTATCTGATTAGATTTAGAATTAAATTGATGTTTTAATTATCAGATGTTATGCAGAAGTTATGCTGCTTTACCAGTGGGAATTTTTTAAAATCAAAAGTTCAAGGCAATATTGTTAGTATAGTATAGTATTTTTTGTTTTTCTTATTACACAAAGTCACTGTCAATCATCTTTCTCTGAACTTTTGTCTCTGCTTTATAATTAAGTTTTCCTTCAAGATAATACAGTTTTCTCACTTTTAGTTTTAATTTTGGTTTCACCATTGCACATTTATTTATACTACTTACATCTATAAAATATAATATACAGTATTAATTTTTTTTTTGCACTAATTCACTTTAATAGCAGTTTAGTTAGACCAAACTATGATAGATGTTAATCATTAAATCAACATCTGATAAATGTTAATCATTATGTTAATCAACATTTTGTAGATAATACATCATATTAACTCTAAATCTTATCAGAAGGAAAACTATCAATGTTAAAAAATGCATTGTCAAATTTTGACTTCAGATGAAGAACCCAGTTATAGTTGTAAAAGTAGCCATATATATTTTAGAAAGAAGTAAGTTGTAAAGTTTAAATTGAATTATAACTTCATCAAGGCATTTGCTAGTTTAATTGTTGACATTTTGAGTATAAGGAGTTACAACACCAAGAATTAGATATTGTTTGGTTTTTTTACGTTCAAAATACAAACATTTGAAAATTGTTTGTATTTTGTCAAAAAAAAAAAAAACATTTTAAATTTGTAGCATTCTTGTGGACATGTGTAAACATAGGAATAACAAACTTATTTTTAAATTGCTAATTAAGTTAAAGATAAGATTTGTTTTTGTTTTTTTAATTCACCTCCCCAAGGCCAAGAAAGCCACTGCAGACGAGTAGGCTACTTAATTGTGGTTATAACCCTCTCTCGACTCTATAACTCTGAAACACAAACCTTGACAAACTAGGCTGCTGCACGG